TTTTTTTTTTTTTTTTGCATACTGCGTCTCACTGTCCCTCCTCCATGAATGAATGACGACATTGAGGACAGTAAAAAGAATCGAGTGAGAAACTCTCACAGAAGTGGGAAAGGGGTTTTAATTGTAGCCACCCCCTCCCTCCCTGCCTGGGCCTCACCTGTCTCAGGCTTCTTCTGGGCTCTCCCTCTCTGAGCCAAGATCCCAAATGCAGACCCACTCTTTCCAGGGACGGTGGCTCAGTGTGGGTGGGGCTTTGGATGTCACGCCTGAACTGTTAGCCATGCACCAGCTCTGCAGAGGGGCAGCTGGGCGTCAGGGAAGGTGAGGGGCTGGCTGGAGGTGGGGGAACTTAGGTGCTAGCAAGTGAGGATAACAACACAGGAGCTGTTTGGAGGATGGGATGCAATGACACGGTAGGTCCTCTATAATGACAGCCAAACCCATGCCTGAAGTCCTTTTACAAACCTGCAGATTAAAACAGGGGTTCTCAATCTCAGATCTATAGACTTTTGGGGCCAGAGCATAATATCCTGGACACTCTAGGGTGTTGAGAATCATCCCTGGCCCCCATCTTTCAATCCCAGGAGCAGTCCCCTCCAGTTGTGACAACCAAAAATGCCTCCAAACATTGCCATGTGTTCCCTAGGGGTGGGGCTGGGGGGTATCAGAATTCCCCCCAGTGGAGAACCACTGGTTTAAAAAGCACAGAACCTATGGTGTCAATTGAGTCATAAGATCCTGGAATGTGCCCCAGCCAGTCTGGCTCATTGGTTAGAGCATTCGCCCTTGGACTGAAAGGTTTCAAGTTCGATTCCTGTCAAGGGCACTTACCTTGGTTGTAAGCTCCATCCTTGGCCCTGGTTGTAGCGCTTGCGAGAAACAACCAACCGATGTGTCTCTCTCTCTTCTCTCTCTTTCTCTCTCTCTCCCTTCTACTCTCTCTGGAAAGCAATGGAAGAACTATCCTCAGGTGATGATTAAAAAATCCCAAGAAACTATTAAAGATCCTGCAATGTTATGCCCAAAAGGTATCATCGAGATTATTTCTAGCACAACTCTTTCATTTCTAGACAGGGAAACTGAGGCCTGAAGAGGTGAATGACCTGAGAGTCTGCCATGCCCCAAGGTATACCCAAATTCAATCTCACTCAGCAGCTCACTCTGCTCCCAGACAGCCCAGCACTTAAGCCATCACCTAGAGTGCTGTGTCCACCCTGCCCCTGCCCCCAGCCAGCTCCTAGAACAAGGAAAACAAAACTGGCATTTTGTGCTTGGTAATAATTATGATCCTGACTTCCAACCCCTGTCACTTTCCACACTATCTTCGGTAGCCCTCAGGTCAGCAAGTTGTCAGGATTTGCTTCTTTGGGAGTGGGGGACAGAGAAGGACAAAGGTACAGAGGGGCAGGGTAGGTGGCCTGAAGCAGATAGAGATGGGTTGGGGATGACCAGGTCTTATTTGAAAGCATCAATCCCAGCAAGAAAGCTTAAGTATATCAGTCATCAACACTTTAGTATAAATGAATTTAATTGCTTTATGGCTTCCCAGTTGAAGTCTAAGGTAATGACCGGATGATGAGCCCTGGGGAAGGTGGATTTCAGAGTTTTAGAGGGAGGGGAGCTTGTAGCTGGAGCCTCAGTCTCTCACCTGGGTTCACACTTCAGACCCACATGGGTGTTCTTAGGTCTCTATGCCTCTATTTTCTGACCTGTGAAATGGGAAGCCTCATGGGGTCGGGCAATGATTCAATAAAATGATAGATGCAAGAGCTCTTTGCAGATGGATCTAAAATGCTGAACATGGGGAGGGGGTGTTATTATGATGACTGTCCAGTGAAACTTCCATCCATGGCTTTCCTTCAGAATTCATCCCTGCTTCAAGCCGGTGCCTCTTCTCAGATCCTATGGGGACAACAGAAGCCACACTCCGGATGGAAAACGTGGATGTGAAGGACGAATGGCAGGATGAAGGTCTTCCCAGGTATAGCTCCCCAGGTCTCTGTGTCAGCTGTGGGGGGAGTGGGTCCAGCACTTCTCCAAGGTAGGGTGCAGGAGACACTGCCAGTTGACCAGTCCAGGCCCATAACGAATATTTGCTGTATTATTTAAGATTGATTTCCACCCCATCCCCTGCTCCAAGAAAGCTCCCATTTCCACACTACTTTAAGAATTCTAAACATTCTTGTAAACCCATCTTATGGAATATTACAGTAGTCTTACCTGGGTTCCCATGAATCAGGTGATAGTGTATTTTTACCTGCAGCAGCCAGAGGCACTGTGTCATACCCCTGCTTAAACCCCTGGGGCAAATGCCCGTCCTACAGAGAATCCGGTGTTCAGATTCCGCCTGCTTCTTTGAGCTCACTCCCATCACTCTCTGTCCCCTTCATGTCTCTCCAGCCCCAGTAGCTTCCTTCCAGTTTCTTGCCCATGCCTGGCTGCCTCTGATTTTCAGACTTTGTATTAGCTGTTCTCTTTGCCTGGAATGCTCTTCCCCAGACACCCATGCCTCCCTCACCTCCTTCAGATCTCTGCCACAGGCCACCTGCTCAAAGAAGACCTCTTGGTTCCTTTATTACCCCCTCCCAAGTTCCTGAATAATGGCAACCTGGAGAATGTTCCCTTAATGGCAAAAGGCACTTTGAAAATGTGATTAAATTAAGGATCTTAAAATGAGATGAACCTGGATTATCTAGGTTGGTCCTCAGTGTCGTCACAGGGGTCCTTATAAGAGGAAGACAGAAGGATACTTGACTACAGAAGTAGGAGCTACGATGATGGAAGTAACAGATGTAGTCATGGGAGAAAGGGGCCATGAACCAAGGGATGCAAGCACCTCTGGAAACTGGAAAAAAACAGTAAACAGATTCTCCCCTAGAGCCTCCAGAAGAAACTAGTCTTGCTCACACCTTGCCTTCAGCCCAGTGAAACTGATTTTACATTTATTTCTGGCCCCTAGAATCATAAGAGAATACATCTGTGTTGGTTTAAGCCACTAAGTTTGTGCTAGTTTGTTACAGCAGCTGTAGGAGACTCATACTATCTACTACCCCAAATATTGTATATATTTATCTTGTTTAAGTCTATTTTCCCCAAAAGGAACCCTAGAGCAGGGGCCTTTGGTTTGACCACTGCTGTATGCCAGCATGAGGACAGAGCCTGGCATACAGTCGGTGCTCAATAGATAAGGTGAATGAATGACAGTCACCAGAAGGAATAAAAACAAGTAGGAAGAAAGCCCTGAGCATCCACTGCTGACACGCATGAGCCACCAGGCCTGCCTCTCTCTCTCTCCCCTCCTCCCTCCCTCCATCTCGCTTCCTCCCTCCCTCTCTCTCTCTGTTTTCTCCTCCAGCAAGGCATTGCTTACATAAGGGAAAATATCTTCAGCCAGGCTCCCCTAATTTATTGGTTGGATGCAACCACTCATCTCCCTCTCCATTTAATACAAGGACTTTACCCCCAAAGAGATAGAACATGTTTACCCTGGAAAAGGGGCTTTGAGGAGGATCTCCAGCTCCAGAAATCTCAGTTGGCAAAGGTGCTGAGGGTAGAAACGAGGCTGATGAACAACAAGCATGACAGGGATGCAGGTTTGAGTCCAGTATATAGAATATGTGGACGTAATATATACTTTTTACAACCGGTCCCATTCAAAAGTTAAATGGGCTTGTGGGAGAGGTCCCGAGCTCCCTATAACTGTGTCTTAGTAGAGCCTGTGATGTGGAGGGCATCAGCCCTACTTGAATCTGAATTTAGCCCTTTCCCAGAGCTAGTCATTTTCAGTCTATATTTTGCACAGGTGTGTGTGGCTCTTTATAGCGAGAAGTGCCAGTTCTCAGAAGTGCTGAGAATCTCTTGTCTGCCTAGTACTGTCGTCTACAGGAGTTTGTCTTCAGGAATTCAAGTATTTTGGGAAAGAGATGGCCACTGCATTGGGGCCGACCTCCTGTCCTTTCACCTTTAGAATGTTCTTTCCTCTCCACATTCCCTCCTGGAGGCCTTTCTCTTCAACTCCATAAGATAGGAAGAGCTAATGTCTGGGTAAGGGGTCTCATGACACCCAGACTTGGCAGTTTGGGCAAATTAAGTATCGTTTTCTAGCAAGGAAGTCCTGATGTAGTTAAAAATGCTCTAAAGTGGACGAGAACTGGCTTTGAGAGCAGTCACTTGTTCCTGGTATGGAGGGTCTGGTTCCTCCCATGTAAAAGGTGAAATTGGATGGGGTGATCTCAGTAGGTTCCTTCCAGCACCAAGCGCGGGGGGCCCAAAGGGTCTTCACCAGTTTTAACATCTCTGGCCTCTGCTGAGACCAAAGCACTCCTGGGTCTGGACTTTGAGAACTTTCTGATTCAAACCCCAACAGGCTTGCTAGGCCACCTCAGGCAACTCTTCCAACATTTTTGTGCCTCACTTTTCCTATCTGTAAAATAGGAGCAATCATCCCTGGCTCAGTGAGTTGTGAGAACTCAATGAGGCCTGTGGGGCTAGACAGCTAAGACGGTCTATCTAAAGGATGACAGCTGTGCAAAGTCATTGTCACCTCAGTATTGTTCCTATTAGCTTGTATCTTGTTCACTCCAGTACCTTTTTCTGCCCCTCCCCCACCAATATTTTAAAAAATAGCCAGCCCCTCTCCCAAGCATCCTGGAGACAAAAATGGGACTGATTGCAGCTGCAAATGTGAATTTCAAGTGAGTTTTCCCCAGCTGCAGAGGGTCCCTCTCCCTTTTCAGTAGTTCAGTGTTTGCAAGATAGTGGCCTCGCTGTGCGGCCCTGGGTCGTGAGTGTGCCTTTGCCAAGGCTTCTGTCTTCCTCATTCTGGAAGAAATGAGTGCAGCTCCTTGATACTGCGTCCAGCTGCATCTCAACATAAGCACCTCTGTCTGGTGCCAGACAACCCACAATTCTGTTCCTTCCAGCTCAATGAGCCCTTCCCGGGGGCGTCTTCAAGCTTCTCGATGGGTGTCGGAGTGATTGCCTTGTGCCCACAGTCCCCTCCTGCTGCCGTTATCTCGCAGTCTCTTCCTTCACTTCCTCGCTTCTGCAGATTCCTATGGAGCCTGAGCTGAGGGCAGTCTGGGGATTATCTATCTCGCTGCCTTGTTTTCTCCATTAATTCAGTCTAATGATCTGCACCAACTGTATGCCAGGCCTTGGGTGAAACACTGGGGACATGTGGAGAACATTACAGCCGTCCTCATGGGGCACTCACAGTCTGTTCCATTTAACCTTACAGCCCAGTGTTCCCTTGGAGAGTTCCTGGGTGGGGTCTGGCCAGGTAGAGGCTGAGCATTCCGAGCAGAGAGAGCAACACATGTAAAGGCCCTGAGGCCAGCAGAAGCAGGTTGAGGGACTGAAGGAAGATTGAGTGGAGAAACTGAGAACCAGGGTAGAGAAGGGCTTGATCAGGGACTCAGCTAGGGAGAGGCAGGTGCAGGATTAGATGTCTGACTGGTGCATCAGCCGAGTGGCTATGGGTTTTGTTTGCTTATAAAGTTTTGTTCTGCTACAGTCCCAAACTTAACAAAATATCTAAAAGCAAGAAGCAGTGCTCTAGGCAGATGGAACAAGATGTGCAATGGCACTGGGGCAAAGAAGACTTTGGCATGGTAGGGAATGCAGTATGAAAGCCCAGCTAGATCACTGGTATGAGGGTGGAGGGTTCACAGATGCCACATCCTGAGGGATTTTGATTTCACACTGAGAGGGTGAATGAGTTTCCTAGAGCTGCCATAGCAAAGTACCACAAACTGGGTGGCTTAAGACAACAGTTCTAGAGGCTAGATGTCCAAAATCAAGGTGCCACTGGGGCCCTACTCCCTCTAAAGGCTCTAAGGGGAGAATCCTTCCTGCCTCTTCCAGCTTCTGGTGCCTGCTGGCAATCCTTGACATCCCCTGGCTTGGGACACATCACTTTAACCTCTGCCTCTATCCTCACTTGGTCTTCTCCTCTGAGTGTCTGTGTGCAAATTTTCTTCTCCTTCTTTATAAGTACAGCATTCACTGGGTTCAGGGCCCCCACAATCCAGAATGACCCCAACTTAATTACATCTGCAAAGACCCTGTTTCCAAACAGATCACATTCCCAGGCACTGGGGGTTAGTAACTGAGTTACCTTTCAGGGATGACACAACTCACCCCACTACAGAAGGATAAAACCACACTGTATGCCTTGCATATTAAGGGGAGCCCCGCTTTTTCCATGGGTTGCCCATCCCTGAGAGCAAGCTCTACAGAGAGCCTTCTGGATCCACTTCAGGTTCATGGTAGGGCTTTAGCTCTGCATAACTTGAGGTTTTCCTGGGACTTGGGGAAATAACAAGGTCTCACCTGGTCTTGAAAGCCACAGCCCGGTGAACCAGCAGGATGGGTATTTGTTCTGCCTTTCTCAGGAAGCTGTGGGCTTTCCTCCAAGGAGTCTGGAGTCCTGCTGAGTCAGCTTCTCCAGTTGTCCAGCATAATCTGGAACATTTATTGAATATACATTGCATTCTGGGGGCTGTGCCAGGTGCCTCAGCCTCATGACCTTCTCCCATCCCCAAGACAGCACCTCCCCTGGCCCTCCCTGCCCACCCACATTCTCCATGCACTCCCACTCCTTCATTGCTCTCTCTGCTCCTCACACCTTAGTCTGCTTTCTGATCTGTTCCTAGGACTCACTAACTTTATTCGTCCTTAGGGCCTTTGCGCCTGCTGTGCCTTTCATCTGGAATGCCCTTCCCTCAGTCTTCCCATGATGCCAACCTCTTTCTTTCAGTCTCCACTCAAAAGTCATCTGCTCATTGAGGCCTTCCCTGACCACCCTGTAACTGCCCCCTGCCCCTCCTCTTCCTTTATCTTGCTTATTTCCCTTGTTGCAATTATCACCATCTGCTTTGTTCATCTGTTTCCCTCTTTTTCCTCTTCCTTCCCTCTTGTATCAATCAGGGTTCTTAAAAAAAAAAAAAAAAAAAAGGACCAGTGGTTTTCATTACATATATAATATGTATTTGTATTATTGTATTTATTGTTGTTATAATATTATTAACTAATATAGATACTATTTTGTGTTTATTTGTATTATGCATATAAGTATGTATATTTTATTCATAATATAAATATATTATATTTTAATATATTTTTATATATGATTGTGTATATTTTGTGTATATTATATATATGATTTATTCCAAGGAATTGTCTTACTCAACTGTAGGGCTGTCAAGTCTAAAATCCATAGGGCAGGCTGGAAACTCAGGCTGGATTCGACGCTGCAGTCTTGAGGCAGAATTCATTCTTCTTCGGGAAAACCTTCAGGCCTTTCAGTTGTATGAGACCCGCCACATTGTTGAAGATAGCCTCTCACTTAAAGTGCACAGATTATATATTTGAACTACATCTACCCCATACCTTCCACGCAACACCTAGACTAGCATTTGATCAGTTAACTGGGTACTAGAGCCTGCCAAGTTGGCAGAAAGCTGCCCACAAACCCTGTATTACTGTCTGTCTCATTCAGCCCTGTACATTCCGCAGAACCCAGGCACCTAATATATTTGTGAAATGAATGAAAAGTAGGTACTAGCTCCATTCCCATTTTACCGATGAGGGAAACAGGCCCAGAGAGGGAAGAGCGCCACCTAGTCATAGAGCGCTGGAGGGCTGCGTACGTGTTTGCTTCCAGGCTCAGACACTTGCGTCTTAGTGAGTCCCTTAGTTTCCCAGTCTGCGTCACTGCGCAGTTGGATGCTTTCCCCACCTTGACGTTCAGGCAGCACCTAGTAACAGTTGGCTAGACTGGTGGCCAAGTAGGCTCTTCATGGACCATCCAAGGCTGGGAGGATGAGTCACATCCTGATGAGAACCGAAGACAGTGCAGTTTTCCTCTGGCAGGAGAAGCTGGCGGCCAAACAGGGCACCCAGCTCTGCCAATGAGAAACGCTCCCCAGGCCAGAGGGCTACTTCCCTGCTGGGGTTGGTGCACATGTGCTAAGTGGACACAAGGGGGCAATAAAAGGTAATGACTGGAATTAGCTGTTAACTTGTTCATTTCAGCCCCAAGTGGTCCTCTAGCCCAGCCTCAGTTTCCTCCTCTGTGAAATTGGCTTCTGCCTGACTCGTAGGGTTGCTGTGAGGACCAAATGAACATTCCAACCTGGTACACAGCAAGTGCCCTGTCCATGGGGTAAGTCGTGGTTCTAGCTGATTCTTAGAACAGGAATTGCAACCTCAGACACTGAAGGACGGTGGGCAGGCAGTGTAAATGAGAGAAGGAGCTGGAAGAAAATTCCCACACCTAGCTGAACAGGCATGGCTACAGTCAGTTCCTGACGGTGTGTTACCACATGTGAAGGGCAGATCTGATTCAAGAAAAGACAAATCTCTGATTTAACAGCAAATTTAACATTTTTTAAATGCTGTATGGACTGGATGGAACTAGGGGTGCTACATCAGCCATCAGTCTGCAATTTGGGGTAACCTTGCACATGGGCAGTGTGCTTCCTGTACTCCAGGACCCTGGACTTATTCATGAGTCACCAACCCCTCCCCTCCCCCATGTCTAGAGCAGGGGTGGCAGCTACAGAGAAGAGGGACAAAGCAGTGAGGACATGAAATGCCTCTTTAAAACCTTCTGACTTTATTTTTTTAAATATATNTCTGACTTTATTTTTTAAAATATATCTTTATTGATTTCAGAAAGAGGAAAGGAGAGGGAGANGACTTTATTTTTTTAAATATATCTTTATTGATTTCAGAAAGAGGAAAGGAGAGGGAGAGAGAGAGGTAGAAACATCAATGATGAGAGTTATTGATTGAGCCCACAACCCGGGCATGTGCCCTGAAAGGAATCGAACCCCAGTCGCCTGGATCCTAGGTTGACGCTCAACTGCTGAGCCACGCCCGGCTGGGCCTTCTGACTTTATTAAAAGCTTGCTTTATAAAAAAACCCAATTGCGGTGAAATTCACATTAACATAAAATTAATCATTTTAAATGCACAATTCAGTGACATTTGGTGCACTCACATGTTGCACAATCATCACTTCTATCTAGTTCCAAGCATTTCTATCACCCCAGAGAGGAGCCTTGTCCCTTTTAGCAGTCACCCCACCACCACCCTCCACCACACCCTGGCAACCACTAACCCACCTTCTGTCTCTGGATGTGCCTGTTCTGGACATTTCACATAAGTGAATCACATATTAGATGGCCTTTCGTGTCTGACTTCTTTAACGTAGCATACTGTTTTCAAGGTTCATCCCTGTTGTAGCGTGTGTCAGTGCTTTGTTCCTTTTCATGGCTGCATCATATTCCGTTGTATGGCTGGGTCACACTTTTTTTTATCCATTCATCAATTGATGGATATCTGGGTTGTTCCCACTTTTTGGCTATTGTGAATCACACTACTATGAAATTTGAGTATGAGTTTTTGTGTGGGCCTCTGCTCTATTTTGACCTCCATGAGAGCAGGGCAACAGCTGATTCACCCTTTCTTCCAAGACCCTTCAAAGTACCTGGAAAGGAGTAGTTACTCAAAGAACATTCCATGCATGTGAATGGGAAAAAGATGGGAGGGAGGAAAAGGAAGAAGCATGGATAGGTTTCACCCAGCTCATCCCCTACAAGGAACAGAGGGGAGGGAATAAAGGGTTTTTGAAAAGGAAAGGAGAAAGCATTCTACCATCCTTCTCAGTCTAAACAGCCCCCCTATCAGCTGAACCGGCACTGATGAGTGGCAGAAATGAATTAATGCTGTAGTGCTTCCCTGAGTCAGCATACCCCGAAGCCAGAGCCTTGGACAGCCCTGTGCACTCTGCAAAACCTTCTGCCTGGAATTGAATATTTCCCCAGGGAGCAAAGGACCTGCGTCGCATGGGTCAAGCTCAGGCAGTGGGAGTTGTTGCTCCAAAAAACAGTCTGGTCATTACCAGAGAGACAGGTCTTATTCTGCATATTTGTGCTCAGCCAAGCATTAAAGGGACACAAGTGCACATTTGGAAGCATTTTTTAAAAATTGCTTTTTCTGTATATAGAGAACCCTAAAGATTCCACCAAAAAACTACTAGAACTAATAGATAAATTCAGTAAAGTAACAGGATACTAAATAAACATCCAGAAATCTGTTGCATTTTTATACACCAATAATGAACTATCAGAAAGGGAAACTAAGAAAACAATCCCATTTATAATTTCATTAAAAATTTAAATACCTAGGAATAAATTTAACCAAGGAGGTAAAAGAACTGTTTTTGGAAAATTATAAGACACAGAACAAAGAAATTAAATACTAAGCAAACAATCTAATTAAAAAATGGGCAAAGGACCTGAATAGACACTTCTCCAAAAAGGACATACAGGTAGCCAATAGACATATGAAAAGATGCTCAATGTCACTAATCAGAGAAATGCAAATTAAAACCACAATGAAATATCACCTCACACCTGTCAGAATGGCTCCATCAACAAATTAACAAACAACAAGTGCTGGCGAGGGTGTGGAGAAAGGGGAGCCCTAGTGCACTGCTGGTGGGAACGCAGACTGGTGCAGCCACTATGGAAAACAAAGGTCCTCAAAAAATTAAAAATGGAGCCGCCAATGATTCCACTTCTGGATATATATCCGAAGAAACCCAGAACACTAATTCGAAAGAATATATACACCTCTATGTTCATTGCAGCGTTGTTTACAATAGCCAAGATGTGGAAGCAACCCAAGNAAGGTCCTCAAAAAATTAAAAATGGAGCTGCCAGTGATTCCACTTCTGGATATATATCCAAAGAAACCCAGAACACTAATTCGAAAGAATATATACACCTCTGTGTTCATTGCAGCGTTGTTTACAATAGCCAAGATGTGGAAGCAACCCAAGTGCCATCAACAGACAAGTGGTTAAAAAAGTGGTGATACATATATACAATGGAATATTACTTGGCCATAAAAAGTAAAGAAATCATTTACTACAGCATAGATGGACCTAGAGGGTATTATGCTAAGTGAAATGACTCAGCCAGAGAAAGACAAATACCACATGATTTCACTTATATGTGGAATCTAAAGAACAATATAAATGAACAAACAAAACAGAAACAGACTCATAGATACAAAGAACAGACTGGTGGTTGCCAGAAGGGAGAGGGTTGGAGGGCCATGAAGAATGCCGATTATATCCCAGAGCATGTAAAACTGCGTGACACCAGCCAAGAGCCTCCTTCTCGCTCAGCTTTGGCTTCCCTCACCTCCAAAAAGGACAATAGACATTAGGTTCTCTGCAGGGAGCCCCCAGCACTGGGGCTCTATGACTTTCTGTGCTAATGCACAGATGTATTTTGTCCCAACAATTCCCAGAACTAAACGGGTGTTGCTGTTTTTGTTGTTTTGTTTGGTGGCTGGATTTTCGGTGCCTGGTGACTGACACCCCTCTCGGCTGGGTCTGCAGGCCACTCCGGGAAGAGACAGGGATGGACGCCCTTGGCAGCCCAGCGGAAGACACGTCCTGTGAGTAGCCGCGCGTGCAGAGCACATGTGCTGCTTCCAGGTCTCAGCTCTGCTCGTAGGCTGTGACTCCCGAGTGAAATGTCAGGGAAGGGGGTTGTTCTGCTCCTAGGCCTGCAAGAAAAGTGGCTGTGGTGGGTGAGAGACATGTGGGCAGTGTCATGAAGGTGGCACAGCGGTGTTGCTGTGTGTCCTTGAGCTGGTTACTCAGCTCCTCTGGGCCTCCAATGTCTCATCTACTAAATATAGGTAGTGAGCCTACCACACGATGGAGTGTGCCTCCCCCCAGGTCAAGGTGTGAAAAAGCACCTGTTTGTTTTGTTTCTGTTTTCCTGTTTCCCCTCAGCGCCCCCCAATACGTTGAACTTCAGCGGAGCCCACCGTAAGCGAAAGACACTGGTCGCCCCAGAGATCAACATTTCCCTGGATCAGAGTGAGGGCTCCCTGCTGTCGGATGACTTCTTGGACACCCCTGATGACCTGGACATCAATGTGGATGACATTGAGACCCCCGATGAGACCGACTCGCTGGAGTTCCTGGGGAATGGCAACGAGCTGGAGTGGGAAGGTGAGCTGGAGGTTTGCTCGTGACATCTGCCTGGCCCAGATCACACTCGGCGCCCCTACTGGCTTCCCAGGCCAGCTTGCTGGAGCAATCCCTCCGTCCCACAGGCTCAGGTCTTCCTCAGGGCCCTAGGAGGGTCCACCTGCCCCTGAACTCCATGCATATTTTTCTTGTAAATTTGTGGCTTTTTCAGGGGGAATGTGGCTTTTATCAGGTTTTCAAAGTTGACCGAGACCAAAAGAAAGTGTCTCCAATTGATTCCACAAGTGTTTGTCCAGCATTTACTCGGGAGCAGGTCTCAACTGAGATGTGGGGATGTGGAGGGAACAGGGCAGGACTAGATGGTGCCCGCCTGCACGCATGGTGGCCGGAGACAGACAACAGATAACAAAGGAAATGAGCCCGAGGTAATTGCAGCTGGTCATCAGTGCTGTGAGAAACAGCTGTGATGGCATAGGGCCTGGGTCTCACCTAAGGGGTCATTCTGCCCCCCAAAGAACACTTGGCAATGTCTGGTGACACTTATGGCTGTTATGACTGGGGGCGGAGGCCAGAAACGTCGCTCAACACCTCACAGTGCCCAGAACACTCTCCCATAGAGAATGATCCAGCCCCAAATATCATAAATGCTCAGGGCGAGACACCTTGAGCTGGGATAACTGGGGGGGAGGGACTCCTTTTGAAGGGTGTTCAGGACAGGTCTCACTTGGTAGGTGTTAGTTGATCTGACATCTCAAGACAAGCACAGGAAGACTGTGATGGTGGTGGCCATGGGGATGGAATCAGAACCGCAGTACCTGCTGGGTGGATGTGGGATGTGAAGGGAAGAGGGGTCGATGATGGTGTCTGGGTTTGGGAGCCTGGCTGCTGGGAATATGGCTGAGCTGTTTCCTGGGGCAGGAAGCCTGCAGGATGAAAGGTGGGAAAGAGGTGGACATTATAAGAGTGGCTGAGAACCCTGAGAAGGAAAGATGCCCAGAGAGGGAAAGAATGTGCGCAAGGTCACACAGCAAGCCTTTCACAGAAATGAGTCCTACCCAGGTTGACTGCCTGACATCCACCCTGAGCACTTTCCTGTGTTCCATGGCTTGAAAAAAATTATTTGGGTGTGAATTTTTGACTCCCAAGTCCCCCATTTTTCCCAGTAGCCTCAAGCTGACGCTGTCGGTGAGTGAAGTATAGGATAAGTGTTTTGCCTGTGGCTGGGAGAGAGGTGCGGGCTCCTTGACAATGGGCAGCAAAGGGAGCTGGGAGAGGCTGGGATGAGACATCAGACTCAGGCGTCCCTTCCGCTCACCCTCGCCTGCTTGCAGATGACACTCCTGTGGCTGCTGCCAAGAACATGCCTGGAGACAGCGCAGATCTGTTTGGGGACGGCCCGGCTGAGGATGGCAGTGCTGCCAATGGGCGCCTGTGGCGGACAGTGATCATTGGAGAACAAGAACATCGAATTGACCTGCACATGATCCGGCCCTACATGAGGGTGGTGACCCACGGAGGTGAGACCACACCCTGGGGGCCCCCTCCAGGCTCCAGCTGGGCAACTGGAGCCCCATCAGTGGCCCTCTCTGAACCTGTCTCTTCATGAGCCCCGGGGATGTTAAACTCTTGTCTCTGGGCGGGTGGGGGTGCAACTTGCATGTGGACGAGGCATGGATGCTGGTGCACGTAGGGGGCGCCTACGAGGATGGCAGAGACAGGTCAGGGGCATGGGGTGGCGCAGAGCTTGGAGTTCAGAGAGGGCCCTGCCCACCTCTGCCTGGGGCCACTCACTGGCTGCATCTCCCCAGGGTACTATGGCGAAGGTCTCAACGCCATCATCGTCTTTGCCGCCTGCTTCCTCCCGGACAGCAGCTCTCCTGACTACCACTACATCATGGAGCACCTCTTCCTGTGAGTGGCCCGCTGCTTCGTCCCAGCCCCCAACATTTCTGAGAGTCCCAGCAGTGGGCTGGACCAGGCTGTAAGAGCCACATTGGGAGGGGACTCTGCCTGGCACCAAACCTGGATCTGAATTCCCAGTTCATCCACTGGGCCCTTTGGTGCAATCATCATCGTCATTACCATCACAGTCACAATAAGTTACTATCACTTACTGTGTCTTTACTACGTGGCAGCCGGCAGGCCAAGTGCTACGTGTGCGATAACGCATTCCACCCTCACCACAACCCTGTGGGGTAGTCACCTCCCATTCAACAGGTGCAGAGTCACTTGCCCAAGGACACACAGGTACTGTTTTATTATGACGGAGACAGATAATACATGTAAAGCAATGGGCAGAGAACAGTAAGAGCTCAGCAAATCATGACCCCTCGATATTGTTATGAAGATTTTCTTCTTACACAGCGGGGCTTGGGTGCCAGGTGCACCAGAGGATTAGGATGTACCCGTGGAGTGGGAAGTGGCCTGAGATACCAGGGAACCCAGTCTCTCTGATTACAGATGGGAAAGTAGAGGCTGAAAGAGAGGAAAGGATTTTTCTGAAATCCCACAGGGAGAGATGGAGCAAGGATGGACCCAGGTCCCTAATGTCTGGTGCAGTGGACCATCTGCTGTGGGTGCCTGTTTCCCAGCTATATCTGGGGCTATTGAGACCCACTCCCGGAATTAGTGGAGATATTAAGTGAAGTCACGCATATAAAGCATGGCACATAGTAAGTGCTCAATTAAATAGTAACTACTACGATCGTTGTGCCCATTGACACAAATTTGGGGTGGGCTGGGTTATTCACATCCACCCTACCCCGAGTGTGCTGGGACAGCCAACAAACCCTGAACAGGTGTGGCTGGCACAGCTGGGGCAGAGGGCAGCAAAGGGGGAAGGTGCCACAGGTGTTCATTTCCAGGACCTGGGGCTTTCTAATTCTAGGCTGCCCTCACCGGGTCCCCTGTCTTCTGTACCCTGTGACCAGGTACGTTATCAGCAGTTTGGAACTCCTGGTGGCAGAGGATTACATGATTGTGTACCTGAACGGTGCCACCCCCCGACGGAGGATGCCTGGCATCAGCTGGCTGAAGAAGTGTTACCAGATGATCGACAGAAGGTGAGCGGGAGGGGCGGGGGCCCGCCTCAGGTGCAAGGGGACGCAAACACTGAGGTGTCAGCAGGGCTGCTTCTTCTGGGGCCCCGAAGGAGAATCTGCTCTGTGCTCTCCCAGCTTCTAGTGGTCGCTGGGAATCCTCACCGCCCCTGGCTTGTAGATGCATCACCCCAATTCTCCCTTCATCTCCCCATGGCATCTCCCTGCGTGTGTGTCTATGTCTTAATTTCCTCTTTTTATAAGGACACCACTTATCATGTATTAGAGGCCCACCCTGCTCTGTATGACCTCACCTAAACCATTACATCTGCAATGACCCTGTTTTCCAAATAATGTCCCATTCTGAGGGCCTGGGGGTTATGAATTGGGGGGGGGGGGGCAATTTGACATGACTTAAATTAATTAGCTCAGACTCTAATTTAAGAGAGAGCCAGCTCTGCCACTTGCAAACTCTGCCAAGGCACTTAGCTTTGCAGAGACTCTGCCTACTCCCTGTGAAGTCCTGGCGCCTACAGGGATACAGAGGAGGCAACACCTGCGAGCTCCTCCCTCCCCAGGGCTTGTTCTGAGGAGCCCATCTTGCTTCCTCTGCCTTCCCACACAGATTAAGGAAAAACCTGAAGTCCTTAATAATCGTCCACCCGTCCTGGTTCATTCGCACTGTGCTGGCCATCTCCCGCCCTTTCATCAGGTGAGATTGTAACCTGTGTCCAGATACCCATGGGTTGCTGTGAGTCTCTCTCTTTTTTAAATCTGCATTTCCCAGCTTCTCTGTGCTAAATACATATTATTACTTTAAACAGTTTTCCATGATAGGTATTATTATTAAGCGACAAACGGGGAAAATAATAACAACCAGCTCTCCCATATTGAATGTTGGATACCTTTTAACACTTACAACCACAACCCTGAGAGGCTGGTATAATCATGCACATTTCATGGATGAGGAAACTGAAGCTCAGAAAGGTCAAGAAACTCACTCAGAGTCACACAGCAAGGTCACTAACCTGCCACACTCCCCCAGAAGAGAACCCAGCTCCATTCACTCTAGAATTTGGGGGGGGGAGGCGGGGCGTTAGGATGCCAAGAGGATCTGACCTACTTCTGGCCAATAATTCAATGAACCAACACATGAACCCACCCTTGGGATCAACGATTCACTAAAAGGACTCACAGAATTAGAAAAGCTGTTATATTCATGGTTATGGTTTATTACTGCAAAAGGTTGAAGATTAAAATTGGCAAAGGAAAGGGGTACAAGTGGGAGTCTAGGAGGAATCAGAAATGAGCTTCCAGCTGTCCCCTCCCAGCAAAGTTGCACCAAAAGCCCTTAATTCTCCCAGCAAGGACATGTGACAACAGGAAGCTCACCTTGGTGGCCAGGGTTTTTACTGGGGCTTAGCTACACAGGAATGGAGCACCGGGTGGCTGACCTTAGTTACTTGGTCCCCAGCGACTCCAGAGGTCAAATTGACATTACACGGCCCAAGGTCCCCACCATAAATCACACTGTTAGCATAGACTACATGGCAGGGTTCAAAGCCCCAAGTGCAAAACACTCTTACCAGGCAAGACAATTTTAGGCTTACAGGTGACATCCCACGAGTACCAAGAGCCAGCTCTTTCTTTGCAATGTGCAGGGTCCCGGCACTCCAAGCCTGCTGGGTTCACCCTTTACTGCAAGATACAGAAGCACCTGGAAAACCAGATCAAGGAAAACAAAATTTGGCATGTAAAATGCCTTAGCCAGTCACATAAAAATTGAATGTACATTTAATTTAATATCATTCCAAATACTGAATTGAATCAAGATCCTTCTTCATTTCCACATTCCCAATTAAGAATCCATGATGAGTTTAAGAGTCAGGACCACACTTTGCCTTGAAAGACACTCAGGCACCAACGATTTACAAAGAGGCGACTTCAGCGCTCTGTGCTCAAGAACCCCTAACAGTGAAAACGCACCAACTATGGATCATTTGTGCTAATGACAAACCCACTGGGCACAACGGTGGACTTCGGCCTAATAGAACTGTGTTCCGTCCTCAATATCCCATCATTCAAGGCAGATCATTCACTCACTCTTGGTTGCCATTCCCATGGCAAATTTTGAGGATCTCATTTTGAGCTTTCAAAGATAAAAGAAGGGAGAGGGGAGAAAAGCGAACTTCTTTAAAGCTGAGGAAAGTAGAGACCGATTCTGAGCTGCAATCCAGCCCTGAGATTCTGCGATTGTATCTCCAAGAAAACCCCTGTGTGTTCCATGCTAATCAAAGGTTGGGAATGTGCTTCACGAGCTGGAATTCTCCCTGGAGAGAGCCACCCCCCCATCATGAGACCGAAAGCTCAGCCACAGGCAGAAAGAGCAGGGTCACAGCGGAGAGTCGGGCATCTGTTTCCAATGATGGGCCCACGTGGTGGGTGTGACCACATTGTCAGGATGTGAATTTTGCCTGTATTTCTAGACCAGGGCCCAGAACAGCAGGTGTTGGCTCTGAGCACCACAAAAAAACCTTCATAACAAATCAAATCGGCCCACCCTCAGAGCCTGCTGGCCCCAGACACATTCAGGCACAAAGTGGACAACCCCAATGAGATGTGGGGACTCGATTCCGCCCATCTCTATGAGATTCACCCCTTACCTATGCACCCGTTCCCCTTCTGTCACGCCAACTGGAAGGAAACCTCATGCTCCAAGAATATTTTTTTTAATAAAAAAATCAATTTCAACTGCATGAGAGCAGTTGGAGTTGTTTATTCCAGTACACAAGGCCGCTTTGTGACTCTCCATGGGAAACATCTGTCTTTCCCTAACCAGTTACCACGGGCCTCTGCTGAGTAACTGCTTTCTTTTTCCCTTGTAGACACTGTGAGCCGCACAACTCATCACTGGATGCCGGAAAGCTTGAGCCCAGTTTCCGTCTAACCTTTAAAAATAGATACAAAACTTCTTGACACTCTCATACCCTTATATTCTCTTGGCCTTATAGTTCTCATTGTGAAAAAATTTTTATTTTCCCTTGAAAAAAAGTGTATTTTACATATCACCAAAATTAGATTTAAAAACTTTTTTTTAAAAATAACTGTGAGTTTAAAGCAGTGTGCTGGTGACAAAGCACCGCGTGGTCCCAGAGAGCCTGAGTCCGGGTTTGGACAGGAAGAAGCCATTCATCCCGAAAGAATGGAGAGTGAATCAGCAGTCCCCGTGTGCCTTTCTGTGCCCAAATGACAATTGGTGTTGTCCCCAGCAGTGATGAGATACCAGGAAAGCATTCTTGGGAAAATTAACTCAGGAGAGCAATTCTTAGGGCGGATGAAGAGAAAACCCAGAGTCCAGTAGAAACTTTTGCCACTCTGCTTCCTTAAACAAGTGCCTCATCTTAGCAGGGATCAGGGTCGGAGCTTGGCCCAGGACCCTTCTCCTCTTGCAAGGGGAGACCCCAGGCTCTGCTCTGTCCACCCCATTAGGGGCAGGGGTGGAGACTGTCATTGGCTGGGGAGGGAGATTTGAGCGAAGGTGCTCAGGGCATCCTCTAATTGGGTTATGTGTGCTTCCCTGCCTGCCCTCGCTCCTTCTGCTCTGGGCAACCACTCCTCCTTCTCTTCCTGGCAGTGTCAAATTCATCAACAAGATCCAGTATGTGCATAGCTTGGAAGAATTGGAGCAGCTCATCCCCATGGAACATGTGCAAATCCCAGACTGCGTGCTACAGTAAGTGTCCCCATGCCCTGTGAGTGCCCCCACCTGCATCTTTAAGGCCTCCAAGCTCCTCAGGTTCCCACTCAGCTGAACACGGCTGCCCAAGGACCAGACATGAATGGGAGAGCAGCAGAACACAGGGAACCAGTGAAACAAGCACATGTAAAATTAGAGGATATGGTGGGCCTGAGGGTCTAGTGCAGGACAGGCCAGCAAGTCACGGCCCACGGCTTGTTTTTATAAATAAAATTTTATTGGCATACAGCCACACCCACTTATTAACAGATCATCTATGGCTGTTTTCAAGCTGCAACTGAATTGAGTTGGTGCCAAGCTGAAAATATTTACTCTCTGGCCCTTTATAGAAATACTTTGCCCTGATGGAGGGGCGTGCAGGCCAACCCACATCAGTGAGTGTGTTGCTTTATAATGACACCGTTCAATCTCTGGATCAGGCAGAAAATGTCTGCTGAGTTGCATCTACACCAGATGCTGGAATACACCAACAAAACAGATATTCCCTGCCCTGGGGGGCTTGCAAAGCAGCTGCAGGAAACATGAAAAGGCCAGCAGATTGTCAGTTCCAGCTGTACTTTCTGTTCTAAAGCCCGGCTTGTATTCAGAACTCCCTGGGCAGTGTACCTACAGGGAAAGGAGGGCTGTGTCTGACATGCTGCTCCTCTCTTCCAGGTATGAAGAGGAAAGGCTCAAGGCCAGGAGAGAAAGGTCTGTGCAGAGTGGCCCTGTCAGGGCTGGACGGGGGCTGGCACTGAGCTGGGCCTGCATGTGGAGGGGGTGGCCAGTGGCTTTGGCTCAGCAGGGACTAATGTCACACTCAAGGCCCTGCTCTTCTCTCGAGACTGGGAGTCAGACCCGAATTCAAATCCAGGTTTCCCTACTTAGTCACAGAAGGACATTAGGCAAATAAAACAAGTTCACAATGACCTTGGGGGTTATTGTGAAAAATCAGGAACAGTGTAGCTCACTCGCAAAAGTGGTGGACTCATGGTAATCATGATGATATTAAGTTCTCCCAGTTCCACACACCTCAGCACACCCAGACACACCCCTTTAATACCTTATTGGCTCATTTTTTCATTAGTGTCACAGACCTTCAGGACTATTCTGGGTCCCACTCAGTTATGGAGCCCTTATCCCATCTCCTGGATACTTTCACATCCCCACAAAGCCAGGCAGGCCCAGGATGCTAACAGCATCTTAACAACCCAGGTGTCTAAGGCTCAGAGAAAGCAAGGCATCTACCCACGGCCACACAGCAAGTCTGTGAGAGAGTTGGGGCGTTCAGGGGGTGGGAAGCATGTGTCATTGCCTGGCCCTGTGCTAGAATCCAGGGACACAGTGGTGACTTAGGAGATTCCTGGTCCAGAAGTTCCTTTAAATGGCAAAGAAGAGGGATACCTCACCCAGTGAGGAAAGTGGGTCCTAGGGACAGGGTGGGGTGATGTCCGCGGATGAGATTCATAATGAGCAAAAGTATCGTTTAATCATGACAAAGGGCAGCTGGAGGAGGTGAGGCTGGAGGGCAGGCGGGGCTCACCATCCTTTGCCATTCAGGAATTTTTCCTGCCCCCTCTCCCAGCTCTTCTCTCCCTCCTTCCTCCCTCCCTCCCTCCCTTTCCTCTTTCCTTCTATCGCGTCATTTAAAAAAAGTTTTACTTGTAATAGAATGCACATAATGTAAAAGTCACCATTTTAACCATTTCTACGTGTACAGCTCGGTGGCATTAAGCACATTCACACTGTTGTGCGCCCACCACCATCCGTCTCCAGAACTTTCTCATCTTCCCAAAATGAAACCCTGGCCCCATTAAGCACTCACTGCCCTCCCCCAGCCCCTGGCTGCCATCCTCTCCTGTCTGTCTCTATGGATCTGACTCCTGGGGGACCTTATACGGGGGAATCATACTGTTTTCCACAGTTGTTGCACCATTTTACGTTCCCACCGGCCATGCAGGGTTCCAGTTCTCCACATCCTTGTCATGACCTGTTACTTTCCGTTTTCATGACAGCAGCCATCCTAATGGGTGCGAAGTAGCAATATCTCTTTCCTTTTTCTTTTCTCCTTCCTCCCCCCTTCCCTCCCTCTGTCTCTCTCTCCCTGTCTCTATCTCTGTCTCTCTCTGTCTCTGTGTCTCTCTCTGTCTCTCTCTCTGTCAGAGCTGTACTCCTCCTGCCTCCCAAGCTTTAGCTATGAACAGGAATAGAGACAGACACAAGCAGGGCCCCCACCTTCTGGAATCGGAGCCCAGGGGTGACAGCATCCACGGAGCACATGATAGATGCCCCTCGGATAAGCGGAGCTAAGTGCTCCGAAGGAATGGTTCAGGGTCTCTCCCCCTCCCCTGTCCCCGCTCCTGCGCCTTCCTCACAGCCGCCTCACCTCATTAACCCCTGGATGATCACTTCCCACCACCCTCCTGGGCCCTGCACTCCTGGGGGCAGCAAAACCCTATCCAAACTGCTCTCAGGCCAATGGGAGCCAAGAGCCCCTTCATCCACTCCACCTGTCACCCCTAGTCACCTCTCTGTGTCCCCAGCGCAAGGCCGCAGCCGGAGTTCGTCCTGCCGAGGTCAGAAGAGAGGCCAGAGGCGGCACCGGCAGAACACAGGTAAATACACAAGTGACCACAGATGAGAGTGACACTCACCGGGGCTGCCGAGCCCACTGGAATGTCCTAGAAAAGTAATCACGATGTTGCCAGGATGAGGAAACACAAACCCGGAGAGGAACCAGCCGGCATGGAGCCTGCTCCACCACAGACGCTCAGTGTTGGGGTGGCTCTTCCCTCCACCCTGTGCTGTCCCATGCATGGCCGCTCCCAGAGGCCACTACTTAAATTTAAACGAATTTACAGTAAATACAATTTAGAAGTTCGCCCCTCGGGCGCACTTGCCACATTTCAGGGCTCAGCGCCCCTATACTGGGCAACGTGGAAACAGAACGTGTTAATTGTCCATGAAAGGTCTATGGCCAGTGTGCCTCTAGGCCCTTCCCTTCTCCTGCATTTTCCTCACTCACTTATTTTTATTGAGGTGAAATTCACATAACATTCAATGAACAATTCTAAAGTATGCCGTGTAGTGTGTTCACAATATCAGAACCTCTCTCCAGTTCCAGAACATCCCATTATCCCAGAAGGAGACCCCATGCCCCTTAAGCAGTTGCTCCTATTCCCTCCCTCCCCCTTCTTTTTAAAAATCCACCAGCTATCTATTGAAAGTCATTTAGAGCCTTGCCCTGGGATGTGTAGACCAATGGCAGGGCTCTGGCCCCCTCCCTTGCCTCTGGAAGTCCCTCCCAACTTTTCTGTCTGTCAGGTCTGCCTCCTGCATTTGACCCTTGTCAAACCCTCCCTCGCTGGCCCTTGAGCTTCCCAAGGGCAGTGGCTCTATCTTGGGACCATCCCGTCTGCTTCCCTGTATTCAGCACAAGCCAAGCACGGGGGCCATGGGCAGCTGATGCCACCGAAAGACGGAGTTTTGCTATCAGAAGAAGTATTATCGGGAAATCCTGGCGGGCTTGGGGCTGCCTGTCGCTGTGTCCAATTCAATGGAGGCAGGGGTGAATCATATAAGGCGTTTAGTTTATTGAGAAGGTTGGCCAACCAAGAAGACAGGAAGCCTAGAAGCATCCAAAACCTGTCTAGCGGAGTGGCCTGAGGGATCTGGTTAAATGGGGCAAACTGAGGCTGGGAATGTAATGCAGCTACTCACAGTCCTGGAGGTCATTCTTTTGATCTTGGTGCCTGGTGATGTCTTGATAAAGTGATAGCTTCACTCCTTTGATCTTGGTCGCCTGGGGATGTCTGAGGATGTCTTGATATCTTCACTCCTTTGATCTTGGTGCCTGGGAGATGTCTCAATAAGGTGATATCTTCACTGGTTCACAGCTGTGCCACCTCCTTAATTGCTTTAGTCTGGGATCAAGGGGAGTGTAGGGTGCAAAGGCCTTAGAAAAGCTTTAGAAAAAAACCCTTAAATCCTTGCTTACATAAGTATATGTGTTCTACAGTATCATAAGTATTCATGTGCTCAATCTTTGGAAATCACAAGTACACCTATCAGAAGGTCCTACTAGGTGACCTTTGTGCAGGCCCCTGTGGGTGTGTTTGGCATCTCCAGACCTGGTGAATCCCGAGCAACATGAATGGCTTTGTTTTGCATTAGTGAAGGGCCTTGGCCTGTCTCCTCAGGACTACCTGTCCTGGCTCATTTGTCATGCAGCAGATACACTGTGATACTTACTTTGTGCCAGATGAAAATGAAGCTGTGTCAGCCCTCATGGATGGGGCTCACAGACAAATGCCAAGGCTCCCCAAAATAGGCAAATAATGCTAAGAGTCCTTCTCTCTTCCATAGGTCTGCTCCGGTCACAGATCAGGAGACAAGGTGAGCCGGAAGCAGGGCAATCTTGGAGCCTTGCTTTGGAATGTTCTAAGTGAAGCCCACCCCAGCCAAAGGGTGCGCCGCCTGCCCACAGCCTGTCTCAGTGTCTCTGCCTAGTTCTGGACACTAGGAAAAGCCTTCTTGTGTGTTGGGGGACCTAAGGACCATCCTCGGGTTCAGTGGTTTGCTAGAACGACTCAGAACTCAGTAAAGCTGCTATGCTTATGGTTACAGTTTATTACAGTGGAAGGATGGATTCAGGTGAAAATCAGCAAAAATGTGGGCGACACACAGGAAGTGTTACCAACCAGGGATGCTCACTTGAGCCTTGGTGTCCAGGGCATTTACTGGGGTCAGTCACATGTGCACAGCTGACTGCTCCAGCTCCTCCAGAGGTCAAGCTGATACCCCACCCTAAATCACATCGTTAGCATACACCATCTGACATGAGCCAAGGTGCCAGGTAAACAAAGTCACTCTTATCAGGCAGGACATCCCCAGGGCTCACAGTTAGCCTCCCAGGAGCTGGACGAGAGCCAGACCTTTCTTTGGAATGTGCAGGGTTAATCCTTGACCACATACTCTCCTACAAATCTATAACATGGCTTGACACATACCCTAATACTATCCATGTGACGCAGGAGTCCCCAAGCCAAGAAATAAACATCAAAACTGGTCTTAGACCAGTACTGCCATGGAGATACCAACTGGACTCAGGTTCTTGATGAATTTTTAAAAAGACCACCTCACTCCATGTCTCCTGGAGATGAGTTCACATCCACAGACATAAAACACATAAGGAAATCATCCACCATGAGAAAAAGTCAGCAGATAACAACAGTCAACAGAATTAGACCCCATTCTGGGTATCCTCAGGTAGGGTGATTAAAGACACAAAAGAAGGAATTGTATAGAATGATAGTAGATGGACAGACAGACAGATGGGTGGTTGGATAGATGGATATGT